GGTCTGGGAATGCCATCAGCTCACTGTCAGGGTTGCAGTATGCAGATATGGTCGCTGAACGGAAACAGTGAGCCTCTTTCTTACCGAGATGTGTTTCGACAATTGAATTAACTGGTCGGCGTTAATTGTTAGTCGCGAGAACTAGATTAATGAACTGAATGTTTCGTCATACCAAATGACGTTTACATAACGCACAGTTGTGGTCAAAATAAATGCACACAGACTTCTACACAGTATCTGTTGTCGTCGACTGGGATGACACTGTAAGACACGTTTCTGAGGAAGGGTGTTAACTCCTAAACGTTGGTACCTACCAGATATACAGTGTCATAATTCAGAAGACGTAACTCCTAAACGTTGGTACCTACCAGATATACAGTGTCATAATTCAGAAGACGTAACTGGTTTAAATTCGAGATGTATTAAATGACAAAGGGGGCACGCAGTAGCGTAGTTGGTTGAGGCACTATGCTATAAAACGGAAGGTCGGGGGATCGAATCCGGAGGAGGTGGATTTCTTTTCAATTGATCTAATCCTTCTTGCCGCACTATGGCCCTGGGGTCGACGCAGCCTCTAACAGAAATGAGTACCAAGAATATTTCTGGGGGTAAAGAGCGGCCGGCGCGTAAGGCTGACAACCTTACTGCCATCTGTGAGCCAACTGTCAAGAAGATGTGGGAGTCTCAACCTCTCACAACCCTACGGGCGTTCACTGCCTGTTACAGGGATACCTTTACTTTTTTTTTACTTACATGACAAGCTATCTGTAACTACTTGACAGAAGTATTTCGCTTAGTGGGGGGATGGAGTCCAACTGGGTCCACTCGACACGGCGGCCACTGATTGGCCTATTGTAGCCTGCCCCGGGTGATTATGATGATGGAGAATTTGGTGGAATGAAGATTGGTAGGGGAAACCGAAGTACTCGGAGAAAACCCGCCCCAGCGCCACTTTGTTCACCACCAATCACACTTGACCAGACCTGGGATCGAACCAGGGTCGCCGCGGTGGGAAGCCAGCAAACTAACCGCTTGAGCTGTGGCGCGGCCTTTGACAGAAGCAAGTGCCAGTTTTTTTTTTTTCGATTAAATATTAATTACGCAGTTGTGACGTTTGGAGTCTCCCTGTTCTTATCGCAGTGCTTCTGGATTGGAAAGAGTGGCAGACGACAGAGATGGTGCAATGACAAGTGCGTCACGCTACACACGTCTCGTTCCCGCTCAGCCGACGTCATTTCCACTGATAACGCAAACTGGTGCTATCTTCCTTGTCGGCTCGCAGATTCCTTCCCGTCTCATTGCGAAAGCGAAGATGCGCCCATTGAGGGGGAGTGGTGACTATCCGGCGTGGAAGGGGGGGAGGGAGGGTGAGAATTCGGTTCTTGTTCGCAGAAATAACTACAATATGTTATCCTACTTTCCTTGTTTTATAAAGAAACATGAAGCTTATGGTAGCATGGTCCGTATCTATTTAAAGAATATGAGAGATAACATCTGATACAGTGATACCAACAGAGGTAGGCCTCGACTTCATAATTCCCTACAATAAGTAATTACAACATGACGGCCGTGCGAATGTCTGAGGTGGCAACAATATTACATAGCTACCAGCTTAATGGGGGGGGGGACTATCGTGAAATTTTCTGTTAGGGCGGCCGCACACCAACTGCGTCAAGACAAGCACCAAGACATGAGACAAAAGACGCAGTCTTGCTTCATTCGTGATTCGTCAGCATCATGACTCAGAACGGTGTCCGGCTGTTTTCTTAATCTCATTCGTTTCAACTGTGCTCCTTTCTTTGCGTCATGTCGCAGACATCGTGTATTTACTGTTACATGTCTTGACGCATGCCGGTGTGCGGCCTACCTTATACTTCTTCACGAACTTCATTTTTGGATATGGTTTTCTTTTGTAGAATGTAGAACGACGTTTCGGGGACTTAAAATCTATTTTTAAGCTTTCGGTTTTTGTTGACGGTTAACTGAAGAGGCTAGGCATCGTGTATAGTCACGCTAGGCACGAAACAGTTTATATATACCATGCAGTCACGTGCTAAGTAACGTCTCTCTGTCTACAGCAAATATTTCCCTTATCCTTTCATTTATCAGTCGAACTTCGTTTGGTGGTGATGCGTTGTTTAACGACGCATAACGTCGGACGAATTAAAAGGATTTGGAAGGGAGCGGAAATAGCTTAATAGAAATACTATCACGGAATTTACTTGGGGAACTGAGGAAAATCACGGGATACCTCAGTCATGTTAGCCGGTATCCCTGCCAAAATTCGAACCTAGAACCTCCAGAATAAAAGTCTAGAGCTTCGCCCCTAGAGTAATTTGTGGGGTCGCACTCCCTTTGGATAACAGGGCAATTATGTCTACTGCAGAAGTTTACCTTCTGATAGCCAACTCCGAGGGGCAGAGCACTTCTTGAGAAGCTAACAGTTGTTCATCTAGTCAATAAATTTCCCACCTTTTATGGAACCCACAGGTTGACTACCGTGTTGACAAGACTGTCCGTCGGTCCCCATCTTCATTCAGATTAATCAATTTTGTACCTTCTCACCCAATTTTAATATAATCCTCCCATTTACATCCAGGTCTCCCAACTGGACTCTTTGTTTATGTTGTGTGTAGGACTTGAGGTTCTCACAGCGGTGGATATGAAGAGTACTGTCTTCTGGGATATAACTCAGTGTAATCCGTTGAAAGTCAACTGACGTTTCGGAGGAACATGTCACAATCATGCAAGAGAACAGAATGAAGAGGGTATTAGCACGCATCTCTGATAGTTCTGCTTACCACCTGCTTTCACGCTGGTTTCTTGCTCGGCTTATTATTCGACCCTGAAGATGGAGGCGACATATTCCTCCGAAACGTCGGTCGACTTTCAACGGACTACACGGCGATATATCCCAGATGACAATACTCCTATTTGTTCTGTTATGGTTTTTCGACTAAAATCTTGCGTACGTTCTCATCTATGGCATCTGTAATACATGATTTACGCATCTGATCAACCTAATCATGTTTAGTGAAAAATAAATGCGGAATTATAACCGAATGGGTTGGATTCGGGAAGTGCTTAGTTCAAATATCAGCCAGGACACAGGGATATCCTGACTGAGGTCCTTCATGGTTCTTTACAGCCCCTCCAAGCAAATTCCTGGATAATATTTTGAAAAGTCCACGAGCGCTTCTTTTCAAAACTATCATTCATTCAGTCGACAGTACAGAGGCATGCGGTAGCGTAGTAGGTTTATGCACTACGTTACAAGCCGGAAGGTCACCGGATCGATTCCCGATGAGGTCACAAGATTTTGCAATTTACCTAATTCTTCCAGCCGCACTATGGCCCTGGGATCGACTCAGTCTCTAACAGAAATGAGTACCAGGAATCTTCCTGGAGGTAAAGGGGCGGCCAGCGCGTGAGGTTGACAACCTCACCGTCATTTGTGACTCGATGACTGGATTCACTGCCACTTCTACTACAATTACAATCAATTATGACAGCTCACAATCAATGACTGTCTAAGATTCGCTGCATTCACACGACGAGTGTCTTCTACTGTGACGAATGACGGACGAGGATTCGCTGCTCACTGAACTCCCTTACGAATGAAATAAATTCACGAATGCACTCCCTTTTACTCGTATAATTTCGGGAGAACCGAACAGAGACCACACACTCGAACAGTTAGTTGTCATTCTCCCGCTGTCACAGGAACGTGTCTTTGGGGAGCTGTTCTCTAGCAATGGACTTCCGCTTCTGTTCGTTGCTATTCCGGCTTCTGGGCGGTGTTTACCGAACCGTTGCCTAGCAATAGTCATAATCGTCACGGTATTTATTCCGAATGTTCCTTCTCAGTCCAGAGAATCGTTTTTTTTGGGAACTCTGTGGTTTCTAAACATGACATATCCCTTCATGTGATGATGAGTTATTTGTTTACAGGACTGTTTATATGCTTCGGTAATCCTGTTAGCTTATGATTCATGAGCAGCATGGTTGTTTGGACACGTAAGCATATTGGACCTGTCTGTCATTTTTTTACTTGTCTTTCAACATGTGCAAAATGAAGATCATCAGTCTAGACAAAATGACATCTCACTCACTCCATGCTGCCGAGCCCTTCTTGAAATGCCGCCAGTGGCTCAGCTACTCAAGAATTTCCCAACTTTTTATGGAACCCGAAGGTTCACTGCCGTATTCACAAGAGCCCTCTACTGGTTCCTAGACAGAAGAATCTAGTCCATACCATCTCTTTTACTAAGATCCACTTTAATATTATCCTGCCACCTACGTCTCGATCTTTCCGCTGACCTCTTTTCTTCTGGATTTACTACACGAATCATATATTGATTCTTCCTCTTCCCCATGCGTGCTATATGCCCTGCCTATACCATCCTAATTGACGTGATCATTCTAATTAGGTTTGGCGAAGTGTACAAGTTATGAAGCTCCTCATTATGCAGTTTTCCCCAACCTCCTGTCACTTCATCCCTCTTCGGTATAAATATTCTCAATATCCTGTTCTCAAACACCCTCAGTCTGTATTAGTCCCTTAATGTTAGCAAGTTTCACACCCATATAGAAATACGGATAAAATTATGGTTTTGTATATTCTACTGTTTACGTTTTTAGACAGCTTACGAGAACACAAAACTTTCTGGATTTAATGGTAGCAAGATTACCCGAATTCAACCTGCTCTTAATTTCCTCCTGAATTACATTTTCAAATGATCTATTAGCTACCTATTTCGCCCTGAATTCTGGTGACCAAACATGAACATAGACTTAATCTTCGGTGGGTTTGCAACGTTTTCCTTCTTGCTTCCATTCTACGTACACTCTTCTTCAACATGTTTCGGCCTCACACGGCTATCCTCAGGCGTGCTTCTCTTGTTCAAATTGTTGCACCGTCGCTTCATTTCAGTCGCGTGTGGAACGCTTTGTTACTTTCAGTAAAAATCCTCTAAAATCCATAAAATGCTGGTACTTACTGACAGCCAGCAGCGCGCGCACCCAGCTCTCTACATCTGTAATATGTAATAATCGTATTGCGTTAATATTTTTGGCAGGAGTGTAATAAATATATGAAGTATTACTGTTCTACTGTGTTATATAACTTACGTGTACTTAACGTTTTCTCCGAGCGTGTTGTGTGTGTGTGCACTGATTATTAAATGTTTTATGTTGTTGCTTCCGCATTTTTAAGGAAAGCGGTGGGTGTGTGCTGCTCTCTGGTGCATAGTTCGTATCTTATCTTACTCATGGAGCTGAGGCCTTCTGGAGGAGCCCTCAATTGTGCAGCTACTCAAGAATTTCCCAGTATTTTATGGAACCCGAAGGTTCATCACCGTGTTCAAAAGAGCCCTCCACTGGTCCCTATCCTGAGCCAGATCTATCCAATCCATCCCATCCTATCTCTCTAAGATCCATTCTAACATTGTCCACCCACCTACGCCTTGGTCGTCCCTGTGGTCTCTTTCCTTCTGACTTTCCCACCAATATCCTATACGCATTCCTCGTCTCCCCCATTCGTGCTACATGACCTGCCAACCTCATTCTCCTTGACTTTATCATTCTAATTATACTTGGAGAAGAGCATGCAGTTTTCTCCAACCTCCTGTCACTTCATCTCTCTTCGGTCCGAATATTCTCCTCAACACCCTGTTGTATAGTTTGTATAGTGTTTCGAATATGGGGTTATATGTATCGATGTGTGTCGTTCGTATGTCGGTTGTTTCTGCTAATTCTATGAATGTGGTATTTTTGTAATGTATATCTCTTGTTTTATTATGTTCGTGATGTTAGTAATGTTTGTGTGTCCTGTGTTTAGTATATGGTTAGAATATTCACAATTACCGTTGCTATTTCTAATGGCTTGTGTAAGGTTCTTTATATCTGGTTTTGTATGTCCTTCCTGTTATGTATTTTAGTGGGCAGTCAAGGAATTTTATTTGGTAGATGTCGCGTCTGTTGTATTTATCTGTTTGTGAATGGGGTTTTTAATATGTTCTGTACTGTGTCTTGTGTGCGAAATGCTATTTTTATTTGCGTGTCTCGGAAAGTTTCGTAGTTTTCCTTAGTTATTTTTCCGCTGTATGTAAATGTGACCCGTTTTGTTTTTCGTTCTTGTGGATCAGTGTGCAACTGGCAGCGCGCGCTGCTGGCAATCAGTAAGTACCAGCATTTAATGGATTTTAGAGGATTTTTACTGAAAGTAACAAAGTGTTCCACACGCGACTCAGCTGAAGCGACGGTGCACCAATTTTTATCATAGAAGTACACCTGAGGATGGCAGTGTGACGCCGAAACAGTTGAAGAAGAAAGTACGTAGGATAGAAAACAATAAGGAAAACGTCGCATCTGGACGGTGTAAACACTTATCCGCTGAAGATTTAACAGTAATGCAACATATACTTAGTTTTGTCTGTGTTTACTTATAGACTAAATTACGTCGCTGAATACAAATCCTTATATGCTGACATGGAAAACAGAGAATCACTGCCTTCCATATGAATTTAAATCTTTTCCATACGTATATTTTCAAATTTCCAATGCTTTAGACCTGATTCATAGTTGATTAATTTTATATTTCTATCTTGTATGAAAGTTATATCTACGTTATGTACAGTATTCCTCCTTGACGTTTCGTCGTCTTTTCAGAACCAAAAGAAAATTTATGAAATTTTAATACTAGCCTGTAACTAATTTCATAACCGCGCACTAATTTTAACCCAGTAACTGCGTTTCACAAATCGAATAATTTATATTTAGACACGGAATTAAGAACCAGTTTTCATGCATTCATGAGCACAAAATGTGGTTACTTTATGAGATACAAAGCTCAAGGGCATCATTTGTATCGATTAATTTGAAAAGCTGAAACGAAACGACGTTGCTCACAGAGCATGGCGGTATGTTTCGTGCGCAGGTCGCCTCATGTCGCCAGGGAAACCGATCAGAGAGTTTGCGCAGCGAACAGTAGCTTGGCAGGCTCGCTCACGAATATACGGCAAGAAGACGCGCTGGTCAGCATGGCGTAATGTTAGTATGATGTCACCGACAGCAATATAATACATTTTAGTGTTTATTCTTCATAGCGATGACCGTGTCCCTCACACAATAAACTTAACTGAGGGGGGGTTCTCTTCAGAAGGATACGTTCACAGACTGGGGCAACCGATGTATTTACTTGTCTGTTTACTGTCATCCCATTTCCCTTACGTTTACTTAACTAAATGATAATATCTCTCAGTATTTATCAGGTGTCATCTGAATAAACAACACAAAAACTTGATGTGCCTGTCTACACGTGACTACTCATCTTTAAATATGTTTCCCAGCATGAATCTCAATTCCGCCCAAATGTCAAATGAAGGCACCCATTTTAATCCTTTAAGGATCAAAGTCACGTTACGACTGAGGGTCAGTCGGTCAGTGTATCTTGATGTGAAGCCCCATCTGGGACCCAAGACCAGATTTTTGTTACTGTCAGCTGTAGGTCTGATGATGTGGGATGCCATTTCTGATGAAAGGAAGGGGTCTGCCGTTTACAGTTGCTACTGGCCCTCGCCAGCGCAGTCAGTCTCTAGTCCGAGTCCCGCTCATGACCATATTTTGCTCTCTCAGATTCTTGACTCCCCCATCCTGAAGGGCAAGGTCCCCGTATTTATATCCCCCACGAATAGGGTGGCCAAATTATACCCGCAGGCAGTGGGTTCCCTTTCCGCCGCTCCTACGACTCGCAAGGCTACAGTGGGGGTATTCGAGCCCACCGAATTCCTTCTAATATATAAAAATTCAGTTCGTACCTCACAGGAAACACATTACGTCTCCGCTACAAAGACTAACCGGTTAATGCTGTTTAGGGAAATAATCGCTGTTTGTCGTGAAAGCCATACGAATCACACAGCTACACTGAGGGCAGAATTAACAGTTCTGGTGTATTAAAGCACGTGGTACATAGATTAACCATTGATCTTTAAAGGGTTAATATGAATCATGTCACTTCCTTAGCAAGACAATAAAACATGTCTTACCTGTGATTGGTGGCGGCTCGACAACGGTGGATGGTCCGAAGAAGGACGGGATGTCTCCAGACGTAGTAACGGGGGTGTTGAGATCACCAGGTTGAGTTTCGGGGGCGGCGGCTTCGCTTTCACCTCCGGCACCAGTGGCCGCCGCACCCGCGGACGCAGAACCTCCACTACCGGGTCTCCTGTCACCCTGATCACCTCCTGTGTCGCCGCCAGCAACCCCAACAACCGACGACTCTTTGTACTCGAAACTTAACACGTTGATATGATGAGCTGCAGCGGCTGCTACTGCTGCCTCAGTCACGAAGAAAGCCGCAGCGGTGGGTGCGGATGTCGGATGGTGGTGGTGATGGTGATGATGCGTCTGGCCGGGGGTCAGCGTGTCCAATCCGTCCATGATCATGGTCGAAGCAGGAGGAGTGGACAAGGGACCTGCTGTTGAAGCTGCGGCCGAACCACCGGAAGTAGCGCCTGCAGGGTCAGAAGAAGAACTATCAACTTCGCAGGGGTTGCTACTAGTAGAAGTGGGTTCTACTTCATGAGGACTATCCTCGTGTTGGGTGATTTCAACACCGACTAATTCGGGGTTGTCTTCTTCAATTGTCGTAGCAGAGTCTGCAGGCGGTGAATGCTGGAACTGTAGCAGTGGCTCAAGCAGTGGCAGTGGTGGAGGGGTATCTGTCACTTGGTCCTCATCGTCTCCTGTGCTCGTTGTGTTGCTAGGGGTTAGTAATGGCGGGGGGGAAGAGGAGGTGGTAAAGAGATGACAGGTCCAGGATGTGGGTGGAGGGAGAAGGGGGAACCAAAACACGCACCCTGTAGCCGTCAGTTTTGACAGATTTCACAGACGCGCACACAATGTACTAACAGCTGTCCGCCACAGTTGACACTGCCCCCACCCCACAATGCGTTGCACACAAGACCACTCGCCTGCGTGGCTTCTCGCAAACTGCGCGCGACGCACCCTACAGATCACTTTTATGAATGAACAGTTGCCCCAAATTTGGTATGTACTGGAAAGTGTTGGCCAATCAGAAGCGGGCGCTCCCCACCACACTCTCTCCTTCTCACTCTCCGCATGGCATCCCCACCCTCCCGTAGCGTAATTATGACGTCAAAATGACGTAACGAACTGCATATAGAACGTGGCTGGGACACGAGACGGTGCAAGCGACTCTCGGCCTTACAACATGAAACGTAACGTCAGAGGAGAGCTTTACGACATGGATTTATTAATACTAAAACCGTATCCTTTCATATATCTAGCCGAGATTTGAACCTGTACCATAGAATACCTAATTCTGATATCAAACTCGTATGTAATTTCTTCAAAACTGCCGTTGGAATACATGTGTTGTGCACGGTTTACCATATATGGGAATCGGAGGGAACCGAAGTTTGCCGAACGTTAAACGTCCTTCTGTGACGTCACACAAGGCAGGAATGCTTGACTCCGGCCAAGATCGGGCGATTTCGTCGTCATTCAGTACCGCCAACTTTTAAAAAATCATGACGAAACATTTTATATTCTGACGCATCTCTGTTTTTATTCTGCAGTTAATCTGCTCCCAGTGACACAGATGTCGCTTGTGAGACTATTATGTCATGCTGAATAAAACGGTTGATGGCTGGGGCATGCAAATAATTTCTGTGAACGCTAAGACGCGTGTTGGCAACTTGAGAGATTCTGTAGAAATGCCAGTAGCTGCCTTTACTTTGCCATTTTTGAAGGGCGACAGGCCGGTCAGACAGAGGCGTGAGTCAGGACTCAAATAAAGCACCAGCTAATCTGTGACGTAGCGTTATGTAACCAAAACATTGACTTTGGGATCTGCTAACTGAACGCCAGAAACGGGGCGATGACTACATCAGCAAGGAATTGAAGTTGGGAGAAAAAAGATTCGGGAAGTTGGCCAAGTCTCATGTGTGTATGTATCTTGGTAAAAATGGACACAGGAGACGTGTGAAGATAGACCACATGGTTCTAATTCTAAACCTGTCTTTGGGTTTACGTGGGCGATGATGACACCCGACAGCACAGTTCTGGCGTTTCATTAGAAGGCACCCTGCGAGAAAATCACAGTTAAAAATATCCTTTAACAAGAAGAGTACATTCTTATAGGTTGTAAATTCGTGTAGTTCTAAAAATGTCTGATTTCGGAGGAACATATCGTCTCCGTTTTCAGGATGAAAGAGTAAGCCATGTAAGAATTCATCAGAAACAGGGTGGGGGCAAGTACAGCCTTACTTCTGAACAATGTAAACTGGTATCCAAAACTTTAACGTTATCTAATCTCGTTAAAACAATTTTATTTTGTTTTGCTGTTATCAAAGTTTTAGTTCTTTGTATTTTGTCATTTTAGATAACATTTCTTTTAATATAACATTAAAGATACTTAAGTCTTATTGAGGTATGCATTGAACTTCTTCCTTTAACCATTTGAACAGTGAATTTCCTTTAAATAATATATAAGAATTCAGTTCGTACCTCACAGGAAACGCATTACGTCTCCACTATAGAACCCAACCGGTTAATGCTGTTTAGGGAAACAGTCGCTGTTTATTGCGAGAACCATATGGAACACATAAATACATCCTGCGAGGAGACTGTAGAGTTTTAGAGGGTTCAAGCGGGCGGTACATTTAGTAACCATTGGGCTTTAAAAGGTTAAATAGGATTACAGAGTTTTGGTATGTTAAAGCAAGTGGTAGAACCGCTGGACTTCGAAGTGTTAAAAACAGAATTTCACTTTTCCTTTCCTCTCAAGAACCTCGTTTTCCAAGTCACTGTGTCCACGTGTCAATGATAACCATGGGTACCGGCAGGAAAGGGAGCAAGCTAGACTCTCCACCTATCTGGATTATATCTATCTGTCTTTATTCCAGTTGTTCCCACTTGGAGCAAGGGTCATCCCTGAAACGCTGTTTCACTTCAGTTTCCTAATCCTATACCCAGTCGGTAGGACTCCTTGGATGGGGAATCAGCCTGTCGCAAGGCCTCTACCTACACATTGGACAACAAAAAAACAATCCGTGCCTTTAGTTGGATTCGAACCCACGATCCAAGTGATCGAACGGGCGAAGACATTTCAAGCTTCAAACCGCGCAGCCACTCTGATCGGCACCTACCCGAATTGAAGAAACGAAATACATTAAATCTTAATACCACTAACTGAATGTATCTGTAAGATATATTGTTATATATTAAATACTCTTGGACAATATGTAAAAATATCCTCAAACAGCTTAAACATAAGTATGTAAGCAAGTTTTCCGGCTCCCCTCCACCCCCCTCATGGAAATAGTACTTGTGGCGCCCTTGCGTGTAGCACTTAACTGGTTTCTGGCTTCGTCATGTGACAAAGCTGGAGTTAAACGTGCAAATTATCCCATACAAAAAACTGAAGGCATTATGTACATGTAACTAAACACGAGATTCCTGTTGCGCTGCAATAAAGTGCTTAACACGGCAGCATTTTACCGTTTTAGCAAACGTTTCTAGTTATTAATAATGCCATTAAATTTAGAACAGCCTGCTCAAAGAGACGAAAACTATCACGCATAGGACTTACTGCACATTGGCCTGTATTATCGGAAAGCAATGTATGTTTTTTATATTGCTAGTGGGGTGGGACTAAGTCCCTTGTACTGCGGCCACTTCTGGCCTATTGTGCCGGCCCCAGATGATAGGTGAGGGTGATTGTGGAGCAATTGGTGGAATGAAGATTGGCAGGGGAAACCGAAGTACTCGGAGAAAGCTCGCGCCAGCGCCACTTTGCCCACCACAAATTCCACTTGACCAGACCCGTGATCGAACCCTGGCCGCCTCGGTGGGAAGCCAGCCACTAACCTCTTGAGCTATGGCGCAGCCCTAATGTATGGTTTGTCGCACCGATCACAGTGGCCGCGCGGTCCGAAGCATGAACCGTCTTCACCTGCTCGAACGCTGGGATCATGGGTTCGAATCCCGCTCCAGGCATGGATGTTTGTTTGCGTTTATTGTGTTTGTATTGTTCTGTGTGTAGGTAGAGCGACGGGCGTATTCCCCGTCCAAGGAGTCCTACCGACTGTGTATAAGATTAAGAAACTGAAGAAAAAAAACTGCTGAAGTCCACAAGGGCTGTAGGTCCATACAAGTATGTATATATATATATATATATATATATATATATATATATATACATATATATGATTTAGCGTATCAGAGGTTCTCACAACAGTGTCTTTGACGAGCACGATGTTCTCAG